GTGGGGTCAATCTGGCCAAGGCACACATTAAAGTAGCAACAAAACTCTATAATCACTGGATCAATGGGAGGCTTAAACCCTAAGGTAAAGGGGTAGGTATAAACAAAAGAAAATCGACATGGTAAGAGGTGATTCTTTGGTTGGCACCAGGGATTAAAATTGGGAAATCTGATTTCCAATGACATTCTCGTCGAACTAAGGAAAGAAGACCGGCAATTATCAAACTTGAGTAAAGTTCAGCAGGGTTAAGGGTAGGGATGTCAAATAGGGCGGGGCGGGGTAGGGCGGGGCAGGGCAAGCCTTGACCCGCTAAAATTTTAACCCGCCCTGCCCTGCCCCGTTTAGCATTTTTTTAAAATTTTGCCCTGCCCCGTCCCGCCCTGCGTTTATGTATTTTTTTATTAATTTTTAATTTTGTTATTCCTCTTGCAATATGCTATTTTTTTGTTTAAAAAAATTATTTCGACTCTATTGAGACATTGCAGTAGACACGTCAATGAAAGTTGTTTATGTATATCAATTGAATAAAATGTGATTTTTATCAATGTTATATAGTACTTTATTAAAGAGTAAATTCCCGTATATTAATGCTTCAACTCAAGTAAATGGGTAAACTACTTAAAGATATTTTTGAAACAGTTTCTTTTCTTCGGAACCAAAAAATTAATTTTTATCGTACCATTGCATTTCTAGCACCGAAATATTGCAATTTTCAATTCAGTTAACAGTAGCATAATGAGAAATTAACCATATCCATTCGCATAATATTTGATAATTACTGCAGCAAGTCAATAAACTACACAAATTGAAAAGAAAAATTAGGATTGTCCTTTCAGCTTTTGTAATAGCCATCTAACATTTTTCTAACCAAAACTGAAGCTTTTACCTATAATTAACTATTAGGCCTAAAAGAAAATTATAGAAATTGAAATAAAACAAAGTAGCTTCAACCTCAATAGACCTGTAGGCTTGTAAAATTATATTTCTCAACCACTAATCTTTAGAGTACTTAGTCAGTAAAATAAAATCTATCCTCACCAAGTTAACCCAATAAGAATAAGATGTATGCATGGGTTTTGTAACAAAAAAAGACGCAAATTTCCATTAGTTTTACTCACAAGCATTAAACCACGTTATACGGAAAGCTTGCCCTGCTACCTGCCCTGCCCTGTTTAATTTTTCAGAAATTTTAGTTTTGACCCGCCCTGCCCCGTTTAACCATTACCCTACCCCGCCTCGTTTACCCTTTGCCCTGCCCTGCCCTGCTTTTGCCCTGCCCCATTGCCATCACTAGTTAAGGGAAGCTATAGAAGAGACTTGATTTCTCATGGTCTCACGGTCTGCTACAAAAGAAAACTCTTGAGGAACAATCTATGCGATTGTGGGTTCACGCACAGGTTCATTCAGGTCCCTATTTCTAGAATACGATCTAGGGGTTAGAGGAGCTCTAGGTCTAGAAGAAGATGGCCTAGCAGAACTACTTTGAGAAGAGGAACCACGATTGGATAATGAACAAAGGCTACAAAGTCTACCACCTCTCCTACTTCTAGTAGGGGCACTGGAAGGAGCTAGTTCGTCAATGATTACAACTTTTTGAGGGTCGGGTGTTGACGAATACATGTTTAACAAAAGAAATACAGAAGAAGGGGTATAGAGATACGAAGAAGAATTAAGGTAATGGATATTGAAGGAAGAAGGCTTCAAGAATTCAAAAAGAATGAAGTATTTATAAGAAGATACAACCGTCGTTAGAAATTGGTCATTATGAAGCATCATAATGGAACCGTCACTTCGTGACTGACGCAGCCGCAGAAAAAATCCTAAAAAGCGCTGAGAAACTGCAGATCCAATCGTAAGACACCACGTGGCATGGGCATTAAATGAATGTGACATACGTCACATCAATTCTGAAGGAGACATGATGATACTCGAGAAAAGGCGGCAAAGAATTCCCGCCATAAAAACTTACACTTTTATGCTGACGGGGCATAACACGTGGAGCATCGATGTAACGATAAATGGCATTCTCAATTAGATGAGTTAAGAATGCAGGAAAGACACGTGAGAAGCACCCACTTGGTTATGTAGAGAAAAGAACCGGACCTGACAATTGTTAAAGAAGAAACAGAAACAAAATGCATAAAGGCTGCAAAGAAGTGAAGGTACACGAACCAGAAGTACATAAGGAAGGGAAATCGGTACAATTATAAGGAATCTTTAGTCATAAATGTATCAGTTACGGTTACATATGGTAACGGGCAATCAATACAATTAATACCATTAGTGGGCTCAAATTAAGTATGGGAACCGTTATAATTGTATGCTCCTATATAAGGACAGAAATCTCATTTTTGTAAGAAAAAGTGACGATTATTATTGAGATCCACACTATTATTCTTTGCTTTATTCTCTAAGCTTTAAGCCTTAATTTTGGGGAGTAATTATCGGTTTATTTCTTATTTTCCTTTGTCAATCATTTTCACTCCTCGATCTATTCTTCCAAAATTATTGGGAAAGTGAAGTAAATCTTGGTTATCAGTAACCCGATTTCTTCTAGATATTAGCTTTGACCGAGAAATCTATTTTTGGTTAAACAAGGGTCTCCAAATTTGATCGAAGCAAAAATAAAATTCCGACAAAGAGTGTTCAATATATGTTATATACCTTTAAAACCTAATATTTTACCTATATATCTGATATAATTTTTCACCGCAGCCAAGTCTTCCCCAACCTCTCCCGATGTTCTTGTTGCGGCCCTAACAAGGATTATGAAATGCATTTCTTAAGGAAGGTGAAAAGAATTGATTCTCTCTAACGAAGGGTGGTTGGTTGACCACCCTAATTAAGTGAATGTAGCTTCGCCCCTGTATACCATAGTATGATATATTTTTCGACGAATGGTGTTCAAATAACCACCCTTTACCGCCTGTAGCTCCGCCTCTGTAAAATCCATTTTGTTTATGTCGCAAAATTATTATATTAGGAGTAAAAAAGAAAAGAAAAAAAGTGCAGGAGTATAATTTTCACCCTATACAGTAATACTACATATTTCATATAAAACATCAAGTTACAAACACAATTACGACCATAAAGGATAATATGGTCATTGCTGCAATAACCATATGTAATAACAGTATTTATTTATCTATATATTGTAGAAGATAAACTTCATGTGCCATAAGAAAAGGCCTATGGCTATATATTGTTATCCATTTAATTTTCAACATTTATAATAACAGTAGCAATATTTGTTGTAGCAATTCCCATAAGCTGCATCTTCCTTCTTGCACCAATGGTTACACTTCTTGGGAAAGCACTTGCCATTCCAGCCTTTGCTAGGCTTCCCACAATACTTTGCTTCTGTTATCTTCATCTCTGCATTAAACCATAGGATAAAAGAACTCTAAGGCAATTAATTAAAAACGGATCTTTACACAAATAGCTAGCTGACCCGATTATTCATGGTTCATCTTTCTTAGCTGGTATACATGAATTATATAGGGCAGCCCGATACACTAAGCTCTCGCTATGCGCAGGTCCGGGGAAGGGCCGGACGCCCGGACCACAAGGGACTATTATACGCAGTCTTACCCTGCATTTCTGCAAGAGCCTGTTTTCAAGGCTTGAACCTGTGACCTCCAGGTCACACGGCAGCAACTTTAACAGCAACTATGCATGAATTACATAGTGATTATATATGATTGTACATACAATATACATGAATTATACATATACTATACCTCCGCAGACTAATTTTAATTTAAGTGATTGGATGGGTGGCTATTTAGGTTAATTCTTCGTAAAAACAAAGAAAATACTCTTCTTATTTTTGGTTAAAAAGTTACTCTTTATACAACATGAAAAGAAAATACTCATTTTGTTAAAACGAAAGAAAATACTTTTTCTAAATCATGAAAAGAAAATACTCATTTGTTAAAGCGAAAGAAAATACTTTCTCTACATCATGAAAAAAAATACTTATTTCGTTGAAATGAAAGAAAATACTTTTTATTATATCATTTTGTTAAAATAAAAGAAAATACTTTTCTACATCATGAAAAAAAAGTTCTTTTTTGTTGAAATGAAAGAAAATATTTTTTTTTACATCATGAAAAGAAAATACTCGTTAATTTTGTTGAAATGAAAAAGAAAGCGTTTCATCTACAATATGAAAAGAAAGTACTCTTAATAATATGTTTGTTTACGATGGAGCGTGCGGGGAGGATNCACCAGAAGCAAACATGAGAAGAAAGCAAAAGAGTAGAGCACACAAAGTTATTTTGCTAGCCATTTCTAATTAAGTTCCTTAATTTGAAATACTTTGTGAAATCCAGGCTATACCAAAGGGTATATTTATAGTGATTCAAGAATAATTTTTTAAACAGAAAAAGTTCTCCTATTTACTTATGTATAAATTAACCTTGAACAGAAGAATGGAAAATGTCAAACAAATCAACTAGATAAATATCGAAAGAGAAAAATAATGTGAGGAGTACTGAGTTTTGATAAACTTTTGAACCGATCAAAGTTTTTTCTTTCTTGCATCACCATGAAAGTAACAAGATTGCTACTACTGTAAATTAAAGAAAGTCAAAAATTTACGTGATACTAGGCCAAGTATACAATAGTATAATTTAGGAAAAACGATACTCTATAGCCGCTGTAAACTAAAAGTCGAAAAAATATATAAAAATTATATATTATATATATATATATATATATATATATATATATATATGTTATATACAAATTTTATACACTTTTTCGGCTATCAGATGTAAATAGTTTCTGGCGCGGGCTAAAAGTGATAATACCCCTAAAATTTATGTATGTTTTCTAACTAACCTTAAAAACTAATTCAAGCTTAAGCTCAAGTTGAGGTGAGAAAAACTAGCAAAAATGAATTACTATGCTCAGAGGCAGAGTCAGGATTTTAAGCTTCTGGCTTCGAAATTCTAATCTATTTAAGTTACTGGATTCTAAATTAATAATTTACACATTTTAAATAAAAAAATTTAAGACAAATATAGAGTTCAAATCAAAACTACTGGGTTCGACCGAACTCGCTCCCGACACTAGATGCTTCAATCCCAAACTCAAGTTGAGGTTGGCTAACTACATGAATCCCATTAACCATATCATTTCTTTTAAGCTTATCTCAAATTAATATTATATAAAAGTAAAAATAAAAATTAAAAACACTAGAAGTTCTCTAATCTACCGATATAAAATCTTTGATATTGCTAAAAGACTCCTAGAAAATATGAATATTTCTACTGGTTGAGAAGTTACTAAGCTTTTACTATAAACAAGTGCTGTGAATATCTAATTTGTCCATAAAGAAAAAATTTCAAGTTGCTTCACGTTTGAAAGTTTCAAAGCTAAATTAGGTATTTGATGCGGATTCAAGATTTAAATTATGTGAATTCAACATTAAGGTTATTAATATTGAACCCGTTATATTTTTAAAGTTATGAGTTCATATTTACTATTTCTTAAAATTTTAAATTTTTACACATAAATTTATGCTCCCCTTAAAAAATTACGAGTTTAATTGAACCCGTAACTATAACGCTACCTCGGCTATTGTTGGCAGACCTATAAGTACTCTTTTAGTCCTGAGACATATATAACATAATTAAGAATGTTATAAAAAAAAAATTAAAGGTTGAAACAAAGTTAAATCTTCAAGAATTAAATACCTTTCTTTATGTGTGTTTATTAGATAGAACGAGAGAAGAAATTCGTTTCTTTAAGAAAAAGAAACTTTTTTCTTTTTTATGAAGATAAGAAAATTATACGGAAAAATTTGATCCCACTCTATTTTTATATATTTATTACTATAACGATTTTCTTTTTAATTATGCGATAACGTCTCTCATTCTCATCTCTTCTAAAATGGGTGCAAGAATGACCTATAATGCAAAAGGACAGCTCAGTGCATCAAGCTTCCGCTATGTACGAGCTTCAGGGAAGGGCCAAACCATCAGAATCTATTGTATACAGTCTTATCCTGCATTTCTGCAAGAAGTTGTTTCCATGGCTTGAACTCGTGACCTCCTGATCACATGGTAGCAATGATATCCAAGTATTGGTTAGAACAAGTCATGTTGAAATAAGAATTTAGATAATCAATATGCTGACAAAATACATATTAAAACGTTTGTCAAAGTTTATATAGTTTGGCTTTCGAAAAGCAAAACATGACAAGTAAATGGAGGGAGTAGCTTATAAGCTAAAAGTCATAAGTTGGTAATACCCAACTTTTGATTTTTAACTTATTTTTATACTTTTCATGCCTAAATCAAACACTAGAAAAATTTAAAAATACTTAAAAATAAATAAGTACTTAAAATAAACCAATCCAAACACCTTCCGGCTCTAAATAATGCTTTTTGGTAATCAAACACAAAGCTGGATCTTGCTGAATAATATTTTACATTATACTACTAAACTATAATGGTAAAAATAAAGTTTGGACTAAATTGTACTTTTTGAAAAAGTACAGGACCTTTCTGCAATTTTGTTCTTCCTTCACACGTATGCACGTGGATAGCACAACCCTTTTCCCAAGCAATCTTACCGATTCCATTGCCTATGAAATCTACACCTTACATAAACCCTAGTGGAATTAGTGAAGAAAATTGGAGAGATTTAAAAAAATAATAATAATCTGAAAACAGAGAACAAGAATGGTGGGTACAAATTTGAAAGCAGAAACTATGAAGCTAATGGATCAAAGAGCAAATACAGAGGCTGAAATGGACGTTATTATTCAGCGCCTTTGCCAACCTGGTGGCCCTGGACTTTCAGGCAACCTTGTTGATTCTGAGGCAATACTAACTCGTCTTATACTTTTCTATTTCTTAATTTTTTTTACCCCTTTTGATTTTTGGTGCTGTTAGTTTTGAATTTGGTTCTTTTTCTTATTTTTTGATTTATTTTTGGGTTCGTGATTTGATGTCTGTTTTGACTATAAAGACTGAAATTTGAAAGTAATGCAGGGGTTCCCAAGAACTGATATCGATATTCCAACTGTACGGTCTGATCGGCGTAGGCTTGCGGGTATTAACATAAACTCCTATTACTCTCTTTGTTCCATTTTATGTGACTATTCTAAAAAAAATGACATATTTCAATATTCAGAAATAATTTAACTTTAAACTTTTCCTTTTTAGCTTGATGATAAGATTTTATAGCCACACAAATGTTACGACAGGTTTAAAAAATCAGTTGCAAAAGTTTTAGTTTCTTTCTTAAACTATGTGACAAGTCAAACTAGGTCACATAAATTGAGACACAGTTGCTTTGGTATTGGAGGGGTCGTGTGCGACAATGGTGTGGGATAAATCAGGATATCCTATAGGATTAGCTGTCTCAGCTTCTATATTGGATAATTAATCCCACCAATTTAGGGGTTGTTTGGTATGAGGTATAAGTAGAAATAGTGTTGGAATAAAAATTTAATACCACCTTAATAATTTGTTTGGTTAGCAAACCTGAGATAAGTTATTCCGGAATTAAAATTAGTACCAGGATAACTTATCCCTTGTAGGGAGTGGGATAACTTATTCCTTCTTCTTAAAAATTATGCAAATGTCATTTTTAATACAACATACCAAACAATGGATAAAAAGCAATAACAGGATAACTAATCCCGGCATAACCTGTATTCAAACCAAACGACCCCTTAGTGTAAAACTTATCCTGTGAAGCTAATACCTATAACCAAACATGGGATAAATACAATCTCAAATTCTATCCCGAAATTAGTATCCTTATCCCGTATACCAAACGATCCCTAAGATGTGTCTGTTTTTGTGATGTTTTAGATAGTGAAGTTGCTTCGGACTTGAGTTTGATGTCATAACTTAGTGGAAATTCTGACCAAGGAAGTACAACGCTTTTGATAAGTGTAGTGTCCTGGTTAGCTTAATGAACCTCGACTATTCGAACGAATACCTTCCACCTCCCACCAACACAAGTATCTCGTAATTCTACCTTCCAATGCTTAGGCAAATGGAAACAATCACCTAGCTTTTTTGTTTCAGTTGGGACTTGAACCTTGGTCTCCTATGATTTTCATACACAGGCCACACCGTTTGGTGCAGAAAGTATAATTGAAACTGAAGTTTTAAACTCTCAGCTTTATTGTCCAAATTGTTGGTTCTGTGCCTCCAGAACTACTTGCTTAGTGTAAGGAAGCAGAAAAATGAATATGTTAATATTCAGAAATAAGGAGCTCACTGTAGACCTTAAGGTCTTGGCTTTTAACCGTGAAAAGAGACATATTTGCGGATCAAGTTGACGAATCAGGTAACTATGCAAACATGCAAAATCGGATTTTTTTTTTTGCACAGAAGTCGTAGGTTTTGTTGAGCAGATACCTAAAGTTAGCATTTGAGTTTTATAATCTATCTGGTATATCCCATCTGGTTGCCTGCAGTTCTACAATGAACGCAAGGTATATGCTTGTCATCTATATCATCCTAACGTATGGATTGAGAAAGAATTACTGCTGGTAATATCTAATTATACTGAAACGCGTCGTGTTTTGCTCATTGATTGCTGCAACATCAGAGATCCAGCGAATCTCTGTAATGTCATATAATTTGTTGGTATTGTTTCCAGCACTACTCATGTTCAACAACAATTTAGCAAATGAACACTAAATTGTGCTGTTTTTCCACCCTGCAGAGCTACGTAATGATCACAAGATTATGACAGAAAAAATAGACCAAAATATTCAAGTTCTACATTCAGCACGGCTTGCTTCTACACCTTCATCTGTCAAAGACTCAGGTACGTGAGCTGGATCATAATAAACAACTTTTTGATAAGAATGTCGTCCTACTTCTACTGAAAAGATCTCTAGTTTTATTAGAGAAGTTCAGTAGAGTTTTTATATGCACTTTTTTTGCATTGTTGAAATGGTTGTTGGTTGCTGTCGCTTTAGTCATGCATGAAAAACTCAAACAAAATAAAGATTTCTAGTTTCATATAATGCTCTGATGCATCCTCATCCAGCAACTCTACCCCACTCTCTCGACAGGCAGGAAGTGAGAGTGACAGTTATATGTGCAATAATAAAACCTTTCCTTATGCATCAGTTGGTTTTAGTAGAGCTGGCTTCCTTGATGTATACTATATATTTTTCACTGCCAGCTGATTTACATGTCTCGTGCTTTACCATCATCTTCTTGATGCTGTACATTGTAATGAGAATTTCTACTAAAATGCTTGTCTAACTGACGTATTATATCTTGTGTATATGCTTCTTGATGACAAGAGTGGGTTGCTCTAGTGGTAAGCACCCTCCAATTCTAACCAAGAGGTTGTGAGTTCGAGTCACCCCAAGAGCAAGGTGGGGAGTTCTCGGAGGGAGGGAGCCGAGGGTCTATCGGAAACAACCTCTTTACCCCAGGGTAGGGGTAAGGTCTGCGTACACACTATCCTCCCCAGACTCCAATAGGGATTATACTGGGTGGTTGTTGTTGTTGTATATGCTTCCTGATCTAAGCTTTTGTTTTCTTGGAAATTGTCATTCCGTCCTGCTACTTTGTTTACTTTATATTTACTTGCTCAAGTTATACCATTTTTGAATTCTTACTTAAACATCCATGTGCTTGCGAAGCTCATTGCTTTGACCATTCTCTAGAAGTTGTAGTTGATATAGGTATAAGCTATTCTACAGTTCACCTAAATTGCTATCACCCTTGAAAATTTTCATTTTCATGTAGCATGTCTTATGCAAGGTCTTGACAGCAATTTTTTTCCTTCTTCCAAGATGACACTGCTGTTTTAGGTGTTCAAGGATCTGCCGTCAATATTGCTTCCTCATCATCTCCAGATAATTATATTGCGACAGCTGCTACAAGTTCTATGGATGTGGATGTAGTTGTCAGCAGACCCTTTGCGGTGATTGATGAAATAACCGAGGCATCTCCAGCAGCAGAAGACGGGTTACAACTTGGAGACCAGGTTATGAAATTTGGGAATGTGGAATCAGGTGAGAATCTCTTACAGCGGCTTGCTGCCGAAGCACAGACAAACCAGGGGTGTGCAGTGTCCATGAAAGTTATGAGGCAAGGTGCTATCGTTAACTTACAAGTGACGCCAAGAATGTGGCAAGGTCGTGGCCTGCTAGGGTATGTTTCTTTTTCCTTGTTAATCCATGAGTAGAATTTACTTTTGTAATGTCATTAACTTGTAATCCGTTATTATCTGCAGATGCCATTTCCGGATCTTATGATGAGGTTGTCGACTGTAGGTCCGCACCAAATGGTATGTCACAAAGAGTTGATGTGAAGAAGAATTTATCGGTGTCTTGTTAAACAATCGTATCTTTTCTGTTGGTCTATGAACGCGAAATGATGTAGCGTGGATATCATTATTGCTTTCGAACAGCTATATATACTCAATTCCATCATATGGATGGAATACTAATACTTGTTAACATTGGGTGCGCGGGGTCATGTATTTTCCTGGATTTGTATCAGGAATTTCTTTATCACCTTTGGTCTTCCTATTGAGGTTCTAATTTTGTAGCTTATTTCTTAGCACTGATGTATTTGCTCAAAACTTTCTTGAACCCAGCTTGAGCTATAGCATATTTATCCCACACAGGGTGACTTTCCAAATGTTTTTTTTTTTTTTTTTTTTTTGAATTTTACAACTTTTATAGTTTCTAATTAGTTTTCGAGGTTCACTGTCATATGCAAAGAGCAAAGGACACTATGTTAATGTCTAATTTCACGTTAAAAAATTAGCCAAGTTGACTGAAAAATAAATTGTTATCATTATGTATAACTTACGTTTGATTGGCATGTAAAGTTTGTTGAATTAACTGTTCAGGGCAGAGGCGGAGCCAAGGTTCCGATCTTAAGGGTTTGGAATTCTTTTTTTAAAGTTATTGGGTTCTAAATAAATAATTTGTACATATTAAATAAAAATTTTAAGATAAATATAGGACTTGAACTAAGATGAACATAATAGCTCCATCCTAGTTCGTAACCAAGCAAATGCAGCTACAAAAAGGGTAATGGATTTTTTTTTCTTATGAAAGTTTAGGTCAAAAAAGCACGGTATAGCCAATTTTCGGACTGGTCATTCAAAAATAGCCAGTGTTTACTAAGTCAATGAAAAATAGTCACTATTTTGCTGCAACAGAGATCGGTCCAGCATAATATACTGGAGTTCGGTGCACATGTGTATGAACTCCAGCATATTATGCTGCACCGGTATACTTTGCTGGCTGCAGTATAATATACTGGAGACTGGAGCACCGGTGCTCCAAACTCCAGTATATTATGCTGGACCGGTATACTTGCTGGAACTCCAGTATATTATGCTGGAGTTCTAGTGTACTTATGCTGGAACTCCATATGCTGGAGTTCCAGCATACTTATCCTGGAACTCCAGTATAATATGCTGGAGTTCAAGTATACTTATGCTGGAACTCCAGCATAATATACTGGCGTATTTTCCGGGGTTTTGAACAGTGTTTCCGCTCAGATTTATCTTTACATGAAAAGTGGCTAAATTTCGATTACTTTTGAAACTAGGCTATTTTTTAACGACCAGTTGTAAATCTGGTTATTTTTAAATTTCACCCAAAGTTTAACTAGCTCTAATAGATTATCTATCATCTTAGGTTACTAATCCACCGTTATTATAGCTAATTACATATAGTTATTTTTTAGTATGATATAAATATTCCTCCTCTTGCTATTATATATTTTTTGTTGCTCAAGGGTTTGAGAGGTTACTGGATATTAACTCCTATAATGATCTATGTAATCAGTGGCAGAGTTAGGATTTTCATTAAGGGGAGTCAAAATATAAAGAAAAAATTCACCAAGAAGTCAAGGGGTATCAATATATAGTATATATACATATATTTTTAAAAAAAATTATCCACCTACACAGTATAATTTCCGACGAAGGTGTGTCGGTTGACGTGCATGTGGCTCCGTCACTGTATGTAACCAACTTTAGTAACGTCTAGTTTTAGCCCTAAATCAACCTACTTAACCTCAACAAAGTTAAGAAGTGCACTTTGTATGGGTCAAAATTAGACCAAAGAAATTCGGCACGCGAAGACATAAGGACAAGGTCGGACCGTCATCAATAAAGCTGAGGTCGGACAGGCCAAGGTCGGACCGTCATCAATAAAGCCAAGGTCAGACAGGTCAAGGTCGGACCGTCATCAACAAGGCTGAGGTCGGACATGCCAAGGTCGGACAGGCCAAGGTCGGACAGACCGAGGTCGTGTCGTGATGAAACAACTAGTCTGCTTTGGGATCCTCAAAAGGAATATTCTACTGAATATTCCCTCTAATTGTACCTTTTTGTAGGATTTTCTATGGATACCTCCCTTATAAATAGGAGGGGAGGACTTCCCCAAAAAGGGGGCTCTCTCTCTCTGTCTCCCTCTCCCTCTTTCTAAAAAAATATGTAAACACATCTCTCCAAAGAATTGAGAGGATCAGTGATCACATACCTTCATCGGATCCAAAAAGGGTCATAAGGTTCTTGTATTTGTCTACCATTGATCTTTATTAAATGAAAGAAGATCCGTCTCACTGAAGATCGGGTGAATCTTTTCCTTTATTCATATTTTTGTTACTTAATGCATCTTTACTTATGCCATTAAATCCGATCTTAATCGCTGTCAACATTTATACTCGGCTATGTTTTTCTACTCATATTATTCGTCTCGGATCTAGAGTTAATTATCTTTAACTAGGATTTACCTCTTCATCTTTGATTGATTTGCTTAAAAAGAGTTTAACATCTTTTGAGCCAAACAATTTGGCGCCGTCTGTGGGGATTTCCTAGTTAAAATTGTAGTTTTCTCTAGATCTAAAATTCAATTCTAGCAAGTTTGTAGAGTAGCGTCACTGTTCGGGATTGCTGCACAAAAAGAGAATTAAGAAATCTAGCAAAAAACACTAGTGGATATTTTTCTGTATGGCTGACAAAGTTGCCCATCTGTGCCTGCGCACAAGTAGGACTGAATCACTGTTGATCAAACTAATCCACGCTTATATTTGCAAAACACACAAAAAAAATCCAAAAATAAAATAATAGTAATATGGTAGGGGCCATGTTTAAATATCACGCTTTATGTAAATTTTTCTTTGTAATAGGGGATGGAAGTGGTTCCATGTCTCCTCCACGCTATATGTTGTGCCGCCTTACGACTTTTTGGTCGGCAGCAGCTCACGTTGCTTATAAATACGGGGACAGTGCCAAAATTCTCTCATCAAAACCTAAGTGCGCATAAACACTCCCTGAAATTTCAATTCACTCTATCATACGCGGATCGGTTGATGTCATCACGTCACCAAATGACAACTCTGTCTATGGACTTTACGGTCAAGGTGAAATAGTTGAAGCCGATGTCTTTGCCTCTGTGATAGAAAAAGGCGTTACACATACTTTTGCTAAAAGAGGCAAATATCATTCAATATGAAACTTCTGCATTGAAAAAGAAATGCCAAATCTATACTACTGTTCCTGTCAATATTCTTGCTTCTCTTAAGATAATGTCGAACAATCGTCTAACTACTGAACAACTTTCCATCCTTGGCTACATGCTTATTTCATACTAGCATATCCATGACATTTTATATTCATGCAAGATCGATTTAAGGAAGGGTCGCGCTCCAAAGAATGTGGCATAGACAGTCTATACTAATCTAAATTACCACGGTTGAGAAGACCGAAACTAGCTCTCAAGTATGGAGCATGGCGAATCATCCCCCGGTGCGACTCATAGTCCGTCGTCAACCAAATCACGGGGACTTTCCAAATAAAAGAACAAAGGCTACGAAAATATCAGGCAGGAATTCATAAGCTACTGCCCGAGTTTGACGAGTATCAACTCGACCAGATACCCGGAGCACAAAACATCGAAACAGATGGCCTTGCCAAACTGGCAGCGGCCACTAAAAGCATAACCAGAGGAGTGAACGTGGCCACTCCTCTCCACTCGCCGACCAATCAAATCGAGGTAACAAACGATTTCATTTGGTTTAACTGGCTATTTTTCTAAATGGAATAGAAGCAGGAGCATTCTCCCAGATACACGAACAGGAAATGCACCATATTCTCCAATACAAGCAAAATTAAGCAAACTGGGACTCCCCCAGGAAATACATCATATACTCCAATACAAGCAAAATTAAGCAAACTGGGACTCCCCCAGGGAACACCCTCTAAGGCCAAAGGCCTTCGCCAAAGAAGAAGAGTTCGACCTTAATCGAACGACGACGGGTTAACATTTCTGTCACACCTCCTTTTTTCTTACTACACCCCCGGAAGGGTATAATAAAGGGAGTTATTTCCAACTTAAAGTGACAATCGAAACGGGATTTATTTTTAAAAAATATTCAGAGTCGCCACTTGGGAGATTTATGGTGTCCCAAGTCACCGATTTAGAATCCCGAATCGAGGAAAAGACTGACTCTATTTAACAGTCAACGAATCATAAATCCGGGTAAGGAATTCTGTTAACACAGGAGAAGGTGTTAGGCACTCCCGAGTTCCGTGGTTCGAGCACGGTCGCTTTGATAATACTTGGCTTATAAAATTATTTAATTACTGGTTTTAGAACCTATATGCTTTTGCTTCTTTCACCGCTTTTAATTAGAAAAATTATCTTGAAACGGGTTACGCGCACGTATACCCGCCCGTTTGGTGCGTCAAAAATCATGTCACACGAACGTGTCCACAACCAATAACGCTTAGTTATTATTAAGAGTGTTTGGGCCGAAGTTGCGCGAACGCATACTCCGGTTTTGTTTTTAGAAATGTAGTTGTGTTACGCGAACGTATACGCAACCACACTTGGTATTTTAAATGGCCTTAAAGGATATTCTACGAAAAATTATTTTTATCTAGCCTACGAATTTACTAAAAGGCCATATCTGATTTTAATGAACTTACGTGAGCTAAAAATAATTAAAAGCTTGTAACCTATGTTATTATTAAGAAAAGATTGAGCGAAGTTGCGCGAACGCATACTCCGAATTAATTTAGGATCATGGTCATGTTACGCGAACGTATACGCAACCACAATCATATTTTTATGGTCCTAGAGGCTTGCTACGAATTCTTATTAATTTTGTATATCTAAATTGGAAGACTAAGACGAGAGCCCTACATCGTGAATTATCTAATCGCGGCCTACTAATCAGGGAACGACACACTAATTTAAAAGAATACTCCTGCAATTGTATTTATCCAAAGTTGAGGCCTGAATCAATTTAACACCAACACACAATCCACATTCTATGTTTGGGCCTGAAAGTGGTGCCCAGTGCCAAAAATGCAACACTACTGACATTGGTTGCACATGCATGAGAGTTGAGCTAAAGAAAATGGGCCTGAAGTCAGCCCAACAAGATGAGACCAATACCCAAGATCGAACCTCTTTTACAGCACCACTTAGAGCACTTAATACTTATTTGCAATAAACCAAATAATGCAAGACCCGCTTAAATCAGAAATTCAAGTTGTGTGCAGGCATTTCTGTTTAACTCCCAAATTTTATAATTTTCTAATAAGGAATGACAAACGAATAACTTGATTATACATTCAAACACTTATTGATTTATTACAATTGACATTAAGC